ATTTTAAGCTATTGTGTTAATCTTGGCTTTTAGCTCTAAATTTGCTCTTTTAAGCTTTTCGCAACTGTTTTGCTGGTTATAACTTTTAACTGTTGTTTACCGTATTGACCTTTATTTACAGTTTGACCAAGTCAAGCGTTTAGATACAATTTTGCTATCAATAGCATTTGTTACATTTGAGCTAGTTTGAGCTTTCAGCTATTGTATTGCTGGTTTTAGCTTTTAGTTGGGGTTTGCTAATTTTGACTTGTATCTATGGCTTTAGCCACATTTTTTACTAGCATTAGCATTTAGCTACAATTTTGCTATCATTAGCTTTGGCTACAGTTGTTCTAATTTTAGGTATTTGCTATAATTAATCTGGTTTATCTTTTAATTGGGGTTTTACTCATTTTAACTATGGTTTTCCTAATGTTAACAGTTAGCCACAATTTGCTTTCATTAGCTTTAGCTACAGTTGTGCTCTTTTTAGTTTTTAGCTATTGTTTTGCTGGTTTTAAGCTTTGGCTATGGTTTTGGCTGTTATTAACCATTGGCCACAATTTTGCTAATGCTAGCATTTAGCTAAAATGCTATCATGTTGACTTAATTTTAGCTATTAGTTATAGTTTTGCTGGGTCTGCTCTTCCCCTGGAGGTCTGAGGCACCCAGGAGAGAGTCCAACTAAACCGGGTCATCTCAAACACTGACTGCCATCTCTTAGTATAACTCACTGTGTGGAGGTTTTGTAAGTGCTCGACGTGCTTTTGCACCTCCTAAGCTGTCAAATCTTGAAGTGAGGTTCTGTAAAAAAAAGCAAAAATTAACAGGTAATATCTTACCTGTTGTAGGTAAGACTGAGCTGCTTCAGTTTGGAGAAATAGTCTAATTCTGACTGGGTTGATGAGATAAATTATGCAAAACTTGAGAAACTTTTGCATTGCTGTTAGTTTTGCATTACAAGGATTTGTTTCAACTTTTGTGGCAAACGGCGGCAGCAACTAGCTATAGCACTTCTCAGTTGGGATCTGGAGCTTTTTCGCCAAGAACATAATTATATTTCTGTCAGCATAAGTGTAATCTAATCTAAAGTCTATTTCTCCATTATGTGGTCGTTCAATGAGCTTTCTACAACAAATAAGATATTAATTGTTCATAAAATTTCCACAGAACTCCACTTCAAAAGATCTGAACTGCAGCTTCAAACATTGAAATAACAAAAAAGTGATAGTTTTCTTTAATTTGTTGCCAGTTTTAGATTTTGTTTCATACTCGATTTCATGTTATCAGTGGATGAATTTACAGCGATTTTCCATATTTCTTTCCCTTAAAGTTGAATTTGAGTTGATTTATGTGTCTGCTTGAGGTTGAATCTTTTTTTTCGATGTTTGTGATTTTTGTAAATGTGTTTGTGTTTCATGTTTCTCACGTCGTTGGTGTCTCCATGTGTGTCAGTTTTCCAGGACCGTCCCAAACTACCCCCGACTCAGGCCCAGGCCACGGCCCGCAGCATCCCCCCCGAGCAGTACTCTTACACTGCCTCCATCCTCAGGCTGCTCCGCAACAAGCCCTTCATCCTCCTCATCATCACTTACGGTTGGCCACGTTCACCACAGAGCACTTCAACATTTATTACAATTTAGGCTTTACTGATTTGCTGGAATTGGGTTAGTGGCACAAATTCTGATCTGTTCCACAGTTTTGCCCTTTGCTACAGTAACCAATTCCAAAAAAGCCTGAAGGTATTTCTTTTGAAATAGGCTTTATCTTTTTTAATCTGATATAAATGCACATGTAAATGTCAGACTGTTCTGAGGTCATGGTGAAGCTTATCTGTTCAAAGTTCACAATCTGACAATGTTTACCGAATGTGTTGGATCAGTAAACGTTGCGTCCTTCCTTAAGTTATTAATATCTTGATTATGGGTTTTAATTTCCAAGGATGAGTAATTTGGTTACACATCACCATAAAGCAACAACATTAGTTTCAAGTTAATGTCACATCAGTATTTCTTTCTTCATTTCCTTGTAAGGTGAATACATTTCACTACATTTCAACACCTAACATTTTAAAGCCTGTCCTCAGCATAAAATTGAAAGGATACAGTATGTTGTGACGGCAGCATTTATAGGTAAAAAAAAAAGGTCCTAAAAATGGACCCTTGAGGTACACCACAGTAAATAGGTGCTGAGGAAAAAATATCATTCTACCATGGAAACAGAAAAGGATCTGTTCGCTAAATATGACCTAAACCGTGCTAAAACTGAGCCTTTAAGACCAACAACATGTTCAAGAAGATCATTAAGAAGAAGTGCTGTCTCAGCGCAATGAGGAGATCTAAAAGTTTATAAATATTTGTTCTGTGTTCAGATTGGGTTTGAATAGTTTCTCCTCTGACAGGTCTGAACGTGGGATGTTTCTACGCTGTTGGAACTCTCCTGAACCGCATGATTATTGAGCATTACCCTGTAAGTTCTGCATTCACCTACAGTAAGTCGAACCTTGACCAATCAGATTGAAGCTGCAAAGAACAATAATGTTATTGAAGACCCACTACGTCCAAATGACTCGACTCTTGTCAGGATCACACGTCTCATGTTTGAGCTAAAATGTCAGTAAATACCAGAGATAAAAGATGTAATCAGCTGTTTTTAACTTGGGGGTTGGGATTTTCTTCCCTTTAGAGTTCAGGCCTTAAAGCTCTTGTGTTTTGTGTTTCTTGTTTGTTCAGGGAGAAGAGGTGAATGCTGGGAGGATAGGGCTTACCATCGTCATTGCAGGGATGGTCGGCTCACTCATCTGTGGCGTCTGGCTGGACAGAACGAAAACGTACAAGTGAGTCGACTCGAAGGCGGCAGAGCTTTATCCAGAGGAGCCATCGTTGTTTTGGGTATTCGGGATTCAGAAAAAAATGTCAAACCAAAAGAGAAATTTCAAAGAGTTTTTATTGATCACCCAAACTTTGTGAGTCCATTTTTCGTGTTTTGCTGTGTTAATCTGTGGGGTTGATTTGTCTGTGGAGCTGTTTGTTCAGCCGCAGCCTGCTGTTACAGCTGGGATCTACTAAACCAGATCATTGCCTCAGCTGTTTTAGTGCAGAGCAGAGGTCACGACCCCTAGTGGGTCAGTGGAGGTACTGTGGGGGAGTTGTGAGATTTTTGGTTAATTCGATTTTTTTTTCTTAGTTACGTCTCAGTATCAGTGTGTGGTTCAGTCCTGGTTTAGAGTCTTTCTAAAATGACTATGAAAAAAATTGTTTTGTTTTTTACTGGTCCAAAAACCCACTAATGTTTTTTAATTATTATTATTGATTCATTTTAAGAACTAATTCAGTCACACATACTTTGTCCTTCCAGTTTTGCTGCTGGTTGTGGCTAAGGCTCTGTTCACATGCGAACCATCTCTGGAAAAGTTTAAAATTTGGCGACCTGGATTCGAAAAGCTTTGGTGTCAGAGTAAATGGCCGCTGTTGTTGTGTACACGTCAACAGAAGGGCAGTGGTTTTGCTGAAAAACAGGGTTGCGTAAACAGGGTTAAATGTGGGAGTTGTGTCTGACGTGCAGAATTCCAGAAACATTCTTGGCTTGAACAGAATAAATCGAATCTCGTTCTCAACTCCAAATACAGTATCTACAATGAACTTTGTTTTGTGTTAGATTTTCTTTTTAACCCTTTTTTCAATAAATAGCGGTGGTACTTTTTAATGTCTGATAAAGAGACAAAAAATTATTTAAATTCTTGTTTTCTTTTAGCAAACCTTATCATACCGCTTTATTTCTAGCATAGCTCATATTAACATTAATTTCTCATCTGCATTTATCCTGCTCTTTTAAATTCATGCTTTCTAAACATATTTCACACTTTGACATGCTATTTATGTACAGTGCTTGACAGCAATTCAGTAATATAATAATAAAAAATATATATAACTTTAGCCAGATAGTTTAAACATCCTGTTTCATCAAGGTGAGTTCAGTGATGGGTGCGTTTGTTTCTGTGTGTTTCATCCAGGCAGACCACACTCGCTGTTTACTTCATGTCTCTGGTGGGGATGATTGTCTACGCTTCCACACTCAACCTCGGTCGCCTCTGGGTGGTCTTTATCACAGCTGGAGCTCTTGGGTATTGTTACTCTCATTCTTCTGTTTCAGATTATTTTGCTTCAGAAATAACAACTTAAAGTGTCTAAAATGTGGCTACACAAGTCACAAATTACACCTGAAAAGGACTTCCCTAATTCTTCACACAGCGTCTCTCAGCAGACTAAACATATAAGTTTGGCTTGAAATTTTGTTAATAGAAATTCTACCTTCCAAAAAAATAAAAATAAAAAGAAAGAGGGGTGGGGCCTCATTGATGGGCCATACGGAAGTTATCCGGCCTGCGGGCCACCAGTTGTCTCTAATCTAGGTATCAAAATGTAGCTTAAAAAGCCAAGAATTTGAAAGTGTGTTTAGGTCTTTTGGACTAAATTCAGCTTAATCCTCAGTTTGATGTGTTGAGTCACCTAAAATACAGACTCAGACTGCCATGTCAGGATCTTCTTATCAAGGTTCACCTGTCGTCACTTCAGTGAAAGAACGTCTTGAACTTGCTTGAGGGAGGTAGGGAAAAAAAAATCATCTGATGTCACTGGACTCCTTTCAAAGTCCTCCTTGTAACAGCTCTGTAAATGTAACACAGGGTTTTATAACAGATGTTATCAGAGCAGAAGCTGCAGCTTTCGTTGCAGTTTATCTGAATGACATAACGTGTGGTGTGATCTGATAGCGTCTGCATCTCTGTGCGCGCCTTCAGGTTCTTCATGACGGGCTACCTGCCGCTGGGCTTTGAGTTTGCGGTTGAGCTGACGTACCCCGAGTCAGAGGGAACTTCCTCGGGACTGCTGAACTGTTCGGCACAGGTACAGTTCAGTCACCGAACACAGAGCCAAGAGAGAGAAAAAACAAAGAACTCATTTATTTTTGCACAAAGACCAGATAACCTTTGATCTTGTCTTTGATTGACTCAGAATCGGTTCATGTGTGCGATGTTATATTCATCAGTAAAAGATTGTAGGAAGGATTAAACACAATGGGCCTCATGCAAGAACCGTTCGTACGAACAGATTTGTTCTTAAATTGTGCGTACGAGTGATTTAGGAGAATTTGTGGCATTCACCAGTTTTCTCGTATTCTAAGATTTTTTTCAGTTACGAACAAAATCCACGAGTGGTCCAGACCTGTCGTACATTTTACGAGCAGTCAGTCTGCTGTTATCCAGACGGGTTTTCTTCACTAATAACTTTATATTTCATTAGTATGAAGATATTTTGAGTTTAAACAAAATCACACTCCATAATTATATTGATAATAAGTTATTCTGTTTGAACTGGAATTAGATTTTAAATGTAACTAACAACAAAAATTGGTGAATTTAAATTAAATTGGCTAGTAATGCTGTTGTAAAACACTACAATATTAATATGAAGTTGATTGAAGTTTGGAGACATTTTAAAATGTTTTTATTCAGAAACACTTGCAACGGCCGTGGGGGGTGCAGCGGTGCACGACTGCCCTCCTTATGAATAAATGAAAACTATGTAACACTATTGTTTACACTTAAATTAAAAATATTTGACCGAAAGAAAACCGGATCAGGACTAGAGAGAGATGAATACGATTTAGATTTTTATTTCTGTGACTGTATACGACCCACGGGAGAGCAGCAGTCGTCATTTCATCCCTCCTTTTTTAGCAGGACCTTTTATTCCACAGCTGACCTGCTAAAAATGACATTTTTTTTTCTGGATCTTCAAGAGCAGGACTTCAATCTCCAAACTCGTAAAGTTCTTCTTTTGACTTTGCGATGTCATTTACGAATGGACACTTCCTGGCATGTGTGGCAGGAAACGTAGCCTTATATGGTGTTTCTAGGGTGGTAATTATGCTAATCTCCTCTCCTCGTGCACGAGCAGCTGATACGCATTCATCAATTTACGCAGCTCATTTACGCACTTTTCCTGAAGATAGAAGAGTTTGTTGAATCTGACGTGACATGTTCGTACGAACCCTTCGTACGAACAAAAGTAAGAGAAATTTAGGATAGGAATATGAACATGTTCTTGCATGAGGCCCAGTGAATCTGTTGTGAGTGTGTGTTTTGTGTGTGTGTGTGTGTGTGTGTGTGTGTGTGTGTGTGTGTGTGTGTGTGCATCTGTGCATGTTTGTGCAGCTTCACTCCTAACTCTGCATGTTCTGCACACATATAGGTGTTTGGCATCATATTCACCATCTGCCAGGGGAAAATCATTGACAGCTTTGGCACGTTGATAGGAAACATCTTCCTCTGTGTCTTTCTGCTCATAGGCACAATAATGACAGGTACGACCTTTTGTCACTGTGTGCACTCATTTCAGGCCGTCACTCAGACAGACGCCTGTAATATCTGTCTTTGTCTTTCACTAATTCTATTAATATTTTACTAACGCTAAGGCTGATTCTTAGAATGCAGGTCGCAGATACAGTGTGTTTTGATTTTTAGGAAGTAGATTGAATATTTCCTATAAAGTGACGAATGTGTTTTGATTGCCAGTAAGAACTTAGATCTGCTCTTCAGAGAAGCTGTGTCTGTTAATGCTAATTAGCTGTGGCAGCCACATTGAATTCAGTTGACTCCAAAAGTGAATCAGTTTTAGATGTACATCTAATGATTTATTTTTGAAAATTTCTTTAAAATCAGCCTTCTAGTTAAAAATATATTTTGCTAACAGACTATATATATGGCTAACTCTGTACACTGATGCCAGAGTTTTAGACAAAGATCTTGCTAAGTGTAGTTCTACTTTGTCATGTGATGGACAAGATTCTCAGCTACTACCACGCCAAAATTTAGCTTTTTTTCTGTGAAACTCACTGAAGTATAGCTATTTTTGTGTTTACTAAAGTCTGTTAGCTGTTTGAAGCTTTTTGTTCTCACTGACTTCAAATGTTTATCAGTTGTAGATGTACATCCAGTGATTATTCTCTGAGAATTTCAGAAAAATCCACGCAGTAGTTCATGAGACATTTTGCTAACAGACAGATTAGCAAATGAGCATCGTGTTTTGATGGTGGTTGGAAAAAAAATAAACATTTGACAAAAGCTAAACTATTTAAACCAACTACGTATGTTAAATTCAGCTTTAAAAAAAACAATGGACTCAATTTGAGGGGTATTCGTATTAATATGCAGCTGTTGTGCAGCTGACACGTTCAGCAGCTGTGGGTTTTAAGTCATCAGAGGTGAAATTTCACGCCTCAGTCAACACAGAGACACTGATGGGTTCTTCATGACAAATGGGTAACTTTTAAAAATATGGATCGAGCACCGAGGCGATAAACTTTGTGCTCACTGCGACAAAAACAGGAATCTTTCTGCTCTCAAAGGTCAGAATACTGACTCATTTATTGACTCAACATTTAGGCGTATGAAGTAACTCTTCTGTTAAAGTGAAACAAATGTCAAAAGAAAAAGAACAGCTTTGAAATATAACGAAGTCATTGGTATCTCTAATACAACTTTGAGACAGTCACCTGTTGGATAATCATCATCATTACACTGTTCTTTTGTACATTTTCGGGTTTATTTGTGTTATTTATAATGTAATGTAATATAATGTTACTTATGGGGACCTGACTGGTACTCGTGGGGACCTGAGTCTAGTCCCCATAAGGGGAAACACTGTTGGTGGGTCGGGGGTTAAGTTTAGGACCAAGGTGTGAATTGAGTTTAAGTTAGTTTTTAGGGTCAGGTGACCCTAACCCTAACCTGTGAGGGTCAGGGTTAGGCTGTAGAAATTAATGGAAGTCAATGCCAGGTCCCCATTAAGATGGCTGTACCAGATTGTATGTGTGTGTGTATGTGTGTGTTAGGGGTGCACCGATAAATCCCCCGGCCGATTTATCAGCACAGATTTCCTTAATTTTGGGAGATCGGCCAGAACTTTGATAAGATCGGTGGAAGATTGGCTTCTCATTTACCTCCACAAAGGTCTGGAAATCAGTCCCCTTTTGCTCTGCTGTGAGCAGTGGCTGATTTTCAGACCTTTGTGGAGGTAGATGAGAAGCCAATCTTCCACCGATCTTTTCCAAGTACTGGCCGATCTCAAGGCAGGTCAGACTTTTTAAAGATTGTGATCGGTCAGAAAACTGTAATCGGTGCACCACTAGTATGTGTACATGTTTTTGTGAGTTTTTGTTACCATTTTCTCTCTCCTCCTCTCTCTTTGTCTGTATGTTTCTACAGGTTTCATAAAGTCTGATCTACGGAGGCAAAACGCAAACCAGCAGGCCAAAGCAGCTGTAAGTGATGAAGCACGGTGTGGTACGGGTGTGTGTGTACTCATATTTGTTACCTTTTTAGGACCGTTTCTGGTGTCCACACCTACCTTATCAAGGCCAGTAGTCCTTATGGGAACCAAAGACAAGTCCTAGTGGAACTCCTTTTTGGGTTGGGGGTTTGGTTTAGGACTAGGATATGAATTATGTTTATTCACTTTATCCACAGAGGATCAACTCTGTGTAGAATTGATGCTGTAGAGGTTTGAGATGTTAAAACAGGTCTCTCTCTTTCTTTAATTGTCACGTCAGAGGGCGTTGGTGACCATGGTTCTGTATTCTATACGGTCTTTCATGAACTGCAGGAGGTTTGTAGGTGTGTCCATAAAAGGGCTCAAGCTGCTTATCAACACAACTTCTTCCTTGTATTTTTCCAGTTGATACAAGAAGCTCTAACCCTTCTCTCCTTGTGATGTGTCCAAGAAAACTGGTCTGTCCTAGCATGATCGTTTGCTCTTGCTAACACTTCTTCATTGGTGACTATCGGTGTACAAGATCTTGAGCATTCTTCTTAAACGCCACATTTCTGCAGCATTTATGATGTTACCAGCTTATATGGGTCACAGTCCAATCTTCACTTCCTTATTTCAAAATGGTTATGATGGAACACTCCAGCACACTCTTCCGGGTCTTTGTATACCTCATTATATGAGGCGTATGTTTGTCAGAAACCTTCTGAGGTCTGTGAATGCTTGTTTTTCCTGATTCCTTTCAAAGATCTTCCATCTGTTACCACAGCACCCAGTTAAAAATGTTGACTTGTTTTAGCCTTGAGCCTTTCACTTTGATGTTACACGCGGGTATTTCTTCCTGCTTTGTGATTACCATGGTTATTGTTTTCTTGATGTTGAGGCCAACTTTCTTGCTTTCTCCATCAATGATGTTAAAGATGTTTTGTAGATCTTCCTCTTTGGTAGCATTGAGGACAGTGTCATGAGCGTAGCGTGAATCGTTGGCACTTTTATTCCAACACTGATGTCAGGCATTCCTTCTATAGCTCTCAACACAAACTCACTAAAGAAAACACATCTGGAGACAAGACACGACCTTGTTGCACCCCTCTTTTAATTTTCACAGCATCTCCAAGTTCATTTTTATTTCTTATTGTAGATGTTGGTTGCCAGTAAATGTTTTTTATGGTTAAGTCACTTCTATCAACATTCAGTTCCTTTAATAGAGTAATCAGATGTTCATGTTTGATCGTATCAAACACTTTAGTCAATGAAGCACAAATACACGTCTTCTTCAATGACTCTTTCTTCCAGTGTCAGGATGTTTATTGCATTCCTTGTTCCTTTGGGTTCAACAAAACCTCACGTTCTAAAATGTTTAGCTTCGTTTTGAACGGCCATAATAATAGCTTCATCATTTTTAATGTACTTTTGTGTGTGAATGAATGATGGAAGCACACCCTGAATACTCTCAGTTTTTATCACAGTGATGTTTCTCTCCAGCACCTTTTCAGTCTGATAAGTCGTACCTGCTTTAAGTTCAATCCAAATAATATCTTTTTCCTTCTTTTTATTTCCAACCAGGCACCATATGTTGGTTCACTATCAGCAGATAAAATGCTCTTTTGAGTTGATTAATTTTTTTTTCTCCACTGATTTTTGTGTTTGTTTGTTTCTTCTTCTGGACGGGTCTCTGAGGTCTGAGGTGAAGTTGCTGAGAATAACGGGTTCATGCTTTTATAAGTTCCTGTTTTGGTTCTTTAAAACATGCAAATATGCACTTTCTGCAGGAAACCTGGATTCAAAACAATTGATACAAACCTCTTCCAGAAATAAAGCGAACAATTGTATTTCTCAAAAACAATCCTAGAAAGCAATTATGGTAAAGGAAGTATTTGCTATTTGTTGTTTGACTAACTTCAAACGGTATTTATACTATAAACTCAATCAAAAACAAGCTTTTATTCTGAAAGGGTTAAACTGGAAGTATCACAAGTTAGACTGAGCTGTTTGGATTGGTTGATTTGCCATAGATAATCTCACCCACCTTCAAATTGAACCAAAAGAAAACTAACAATTAGCTTTGATTAATTTTTATCTGTTTAGCAGTTTAGCGCTAGCGGAGCTAAGATTCTTGTTCAGGAGATTAGTGGTTAGTGAACCTAACCTTTAGGTTAGCTGTGCCCACCACAGACCTAAACCTAACTAGCAGCATGAAGTCAGTCGAGATCAGACTGAGCTGATCTTCACCTCAGACTGGAGCCTCGGCCATCTTCAAACCCCTGAATGATCGTCAGCTGTTGTTTTAGGCGGAGGGAATGACGTCGGCGCAGGACTACGGAGCAACGGCGCTAATCTCCGAGCCGCAGACTTATCCCTCTCAACCCTGACCAATCAAACTTTTCTGTTGCTGCAAAAAAAAAAAAATCCTCAAATTGTAGCTCAACACACAGAATCAGAAAGGTAGGAGCACAGAGCAATCACACACAGATGCTGTAATGACCTTTCACCCTGCACACTTTCTCCACTCTGTTTTACTTTGTTTCTAAAAATCAACATTCACCTGCTGAACTAATAAATGTATATATTTTGATTATTTTTCACTCTAATGACTTCACATAAAAATCCACTCTTCAGTTAACGTTTTTAACTGCTTCGTAGAAATGTTTTTTCTATAACAAACATTTGCATGTTTTTAGCCCAAGCATTTTTTACAGGTTTAAGTTCAATTTTAACATATCTCTTATTGCAAAACAGTTGTCCGTTGCTGTTGTTATTGACCAATAATAACTGTACAAACTCCTCCTCCTTACTAAAAACTGTTCTGAATTTTATTATGAGTGTCATGCATCAGATTTTAAATTTTCAGTAAAATTGTGCAGGTGTGGACATTACAATAACACACTCCCTTACTACAAAACACACACACTTTTGCTGCAATGGCCGGTGAAGCAATTTTTCAATGCTAATTTTATTAGAATGATCTTTAAAATGTATAAAAAATCATATAAAATGAAGTTTAAGGTTAGTTAGCATTGGTTTAAAAAGGTTAGGTACAATAAAATGGATAAAAACAGCAAAAGGGGGCGTGTTTTGTAGGGGCGTGGCTTGTACTGGCTGTGACTGCAGCTAGACCAGTCTTACAAATTGGGACAGCCTACGGCATGGGCACTGACTTAAGAAGTTGAAAAATGCGCCCTACAATTGGCCGCAACCCCTGAATTGAGACACAGCCTTAATTTTACTTTTACCTGTTTGGTATTTAAGAACGAGGCTCCAGAGCAGGAATTTTGCAACAAAAAATGACCTTTCTTACAGTATTTTAAAATACGACTTCAGACAACAAATTGATCACGAGGTTGTGGCTCCAGTATCACTTCATGTTTAAACTTGTTAATATTATCAGGATTAGTTTCTGATATCTTTTAGCGTGAAGCTTAACGTTTGTGGTGACTTCTTTTGGTAAAAACAGTCTTTCTGTGCCGCCTTCCTAAAACCATGACTGTGCTTCCTGTGATTGGCAGACACCTGCAGAATGCTGCTCTGAACACCTGGATGCACCTTCCGTCATCAAAGAAGTCCCGTTTTAGACCAACGAGGCTGAAGTTCAGACAATCAAGAAGCCTTAGAAATCGTTTTCCCTTCTGAGAAGAGTTAAATGTATAATGTATAATTGCACTAAATTCGTTGATCAAAAATGTTTTTATATATTTTATATATTTAAGTGTAAATTAAAATTGTTTCACTCTGTAAGACAATTTTTTTTAAAACAAATGGTGCCTTGGCAGAATATTCTGTCAATATTTTTTAAAAGCACAGGTAATTTTAGTGCACTGGCCACAAAGAAAGATCCACATAAGTTAGACCGCCTTTAGCTTTTCAGGCTTGTAATCCTGAGGCTCTGGGTTGGAGCTCAGGTCACGTCAGGAAGGACATTCGCTGTGGCGACTCCTGAAGAAAGGAAGCGAAACATCACCAACCTACGACACGACGGCTTTAACCTACCAACTGAGTTGTCAAAACAACCCAGTCAATTTTAATGTGGACACTGGCCCTTTTTTAAAATAATTCAAATAAGTAAAAAAACTTAGCAGCAGGATTTCAAACAGAAAAATAAGAGTAAGGGAAGTGAAAAAAGCTAAAGAGCTATAGTTTTGTAGATGTCTTTGTAAAACTGTTCACGCTGACTCGGTTAACGTGAAATAAAACCTTTTTATAAAGATTCTCATTGTTTTGAATCATGTTCATGTCTCAGCTCATGGTGCCACACCTGGTCTAACCTGAACAGTGTCTGCTCAGCACTTTTTTATCAGGATACAAAGCTGATTACAAAGTGTGTTTTACAATCAACGCTTTTGAAAGCCATGGCATGTAAAATCTTATCAGAACTTTTATTTTACCCTTTCTTCCTCTAAAATGAATGGACAGGATGCTCTGTGTGCTCTTGGCCACATGAGGGCAGCATTGTTACAACCTCCTCACCAACATCTTTACCATCAACTAGAACCTCTGATTCAAAGCAGTACAAAAGCAGTCTGTTGATCTGATTGGTCATAATGTCGTGTAACTTATTTATGGTGCTGGAACCGTTTGAACTTTTCAGGACACCGATCAGCTTAAAGAAGCGAGTTTCAGAGTTGACACGACAGAAGCTGGTTTTTAAAAGATAATCTTGCCTCTGAGCAGTGAAGTTATGAGATCATCTTGACTTAAAGCCAGAAGTAAACGAGCAGCTCCCAACTGACGGACTCTGTGATGAGCTCATTGTTTTCTAGTCAGGCTTTGACTGATCCTTGGCATGCGTCACCTCTTAAATTGTCTGTAATGCCCCTTCTTTTTAACTCCAGATTATCAGTGAAATTTGTAATGCACCACACAGCAAAGTTATTATTTTTCTTTTAGCTGCATCAGCGTGGTGAAGGTGAACTGTAAACAGAAAGGTCTAGAGGAGGAGGCGCAGTGTGTGTGACCTCAGGCTCGTTGGGAAAACTGAAAATCTGCCCGACCACATGTAGGAACGAATGTTTGAATAAGGCCCCATGTATATGTTTGACATTTCAGACCTGCTTGGAAGAATTTACTGTATG